GAGGATGTGACTTCAGGTGTGTGTGTGTGTGTGTTCAGGCTCGTCTGCGGATGGTGGATGTTGTAGAGAAGGAGGATGTTAATGAGGCCATGCGACTGATGGAGATGAGCAAAGACTCGCTGCAGGCCGACAAGACCAACAACACCAGGTACACACACACACACACACACTACTGACTGCTGACTGCAGCGTGCCCGCGGCTCACTCTCTGTCTGTCTGCAGGTCACAGCGTCCCGCTGACGTGATCTTCTCTCTGCTGCGGGAGCTGGCCGGTGAAGGTGCGTTGAGGTCTGTTCGTGTGGCCGAGGCCGAGCAGCGCTGCGTGTCTCGTGGGTTCACTCCTGTGCAGTTCCAGGCTGCTCTGGACGAGTATGAGGAGCTGAACGTGTGGCAGATCAACCAGGCGCGGTCACGCGTCACGTTTGTGTGAATGAACGGCACACCAAACACAGACTGCACATGATCCCATGCTTTTGAACCTTTCCGGCTGATGGTGTTGTGATGAGGAGGAGGGAGCATTCTCGTTTGTTTTGCTTTTAAACCTGTTAAATCCCTGAAATAAATGCTGTAAATAGATAAAACTTTGTGCTTTGACTTGATTTATGGACATTCCTGCAGGATTTTAATGAAATGCTGACACATTATCAGACCTGCCAACCTGTACGCATTTTGCATAGCGGCTACGCATTTTGACCTCAAAGTACGCTGGTACGATCTGTCAAAAATCTAGTGACGCCTCTGTCCACGCGCAGTATTCAAAACAAGCAACAGAAAAAGATGAAGAGGTCAACCAATCAGAGTGCTGTTTTTGTTTCTGCATTTAAATAATTTCTGCGTTTTATTTGTCCTAGTAGCCTATAGTTTATAGTTTCAGTTCAAAGCGGCTCGCCCCGTCAGATGCTCTGACAGAAAAGGTTAGGGTTACTCCAAAAAAATGTCCAAGGTTGGCAGGTCTGCATTGGTAACACTTTACAATTGGGTCCAATTAGTTTAATGACATTATCAATGAGCAATACATCAGGGGCAGTTCTAGAGCGAGTGGATACCCGGGGCTGAGCCCAGAGACATCCATGTGTGTCAGAATATATGGGATAGTTCACCGAAAAATAAAGATTACCCCATGATTTGCTCACCCTCAAGCCATTCTAGCTGTATATGACTTTTTTTTCTTTCAGTCGAATCCAATCGCAGGGATGAAAGTTTTTCCGTCGCTACGACGGATTTCCTTCAATTGGAAAAAATGAGTGGAGAAGAAACATGTAGCGCATTGTTCTGCTGGCACCAAAAATCCTCCCCGCCACGGCTGCAGCTTCTCACTGACAACATAATGCCGCTCACATCATTCACAGTCTGGTTATTAGCAGAGAACACAGAGCAGGACTCGGCGCGGGATTGCGGCTATTAATAATTCCCATTCCCGCAGGTTCCGCGCTTATAACACGATGACGGAGGACGGTATCATTTGCACCTGCTTTTGAGTCGTGAGAAATAATTTTCTGTGCGCCCACAGATCGCGATAAGGAGAGTGACTGCTTTTAATAATTATTACAGGAGTTTGCAAATATGATATTGATTTAATACAATGGAGCAAAAAAGGCAGTACTTGTTTACTGAACCATTTCATCAATGAAAATCGTTCCAAATAAAGTAACCGCTCAGCCGCTGCGTATCTAAAAGCAAACACCGCAGTGTTTAATTCATGAATGAAAGTGTGTTTTTGAACTAATCTAGTGAGTCAGTGATTCATGATTACCCATTCATAAAGACATTAGCTGCGTCCGAAATGGCATACTCAATGAGTAGGTACTTAATTTCCATAAGTACTTAACGAGCGCTAAAAGAGTAGGTACTCTACAGCCAAATCTCATTGAGGATCCGGACTTCATCCGCCATGTTGACGTTATCATGTGATCTACGACGTTACAAGCGCTACAACTTAAAATATATGAACAGCAGGTTTAATTGATCTCTCTGTAAATATTTTCATGTTTATGAAATTTGCTCATTTTGTGGTCTTGTTGAAGAAACAGCTGCCCTTTTATTGTGATTGTAGTATACCAATACATTTTGGGTTGATTTGAATTTTGTATACTAAAATGACCCACAATTTAATCCTTAAATATATTATTTTTCCTTACGAAACCCCAAAATCGTTATCTCTTGAATATGTTGTTACTTTATTTTATGTGCAAAATCTTTAACCCACAAGCAAAACCGGCTTAAATCTCCTTTTGTTTTCCTCTTTTTCTTGTTGAATTTAACTCCGTTTCATCCCTCCGGTTTATAAACAACAAATGCAATATTATGATTATTCAAAGATATCTAACCTTGTCATTGTGCCTCTTTTTCTGTGTATATAATCTCATACTATGGTGTATGCAAACCCATTTATGTTTTCTGCTGTTTGTCATTATGATGTTCATTGTTAAAGATACAACCATCTTTCCCTGAGCTTGTATGTTATCAGTAACTCCACAACCCTACCTAGTACAGTTTTCCTCAGCGTTTGCAATATTTGTAATATCTGCACAAAGGAGACGTCGATCAGCTGCTAGAAGATCTCGCCTTTGGAGAAGACTCTTAATTTTACACTTGAAAAATGTAAGTATTACTACTTAGAAATTAAGATTACCCCAGAATGCATTGCTAGCCTACCCCAACACTTTATTATGAACAATAATAATGATAAGTGCTGACCAATAATTAGCTAAATGTAAATTGTTTTGTCATATGCCATAGCTATGCATGACTACACACTAGACAGACGCAGCCAAGGTGAATACATCTCAATTTTCAGTCAGGTAATGAAGAAAATGCATATATTAATGAAACATTATATTTCATTTACTGACAACAGGAAACATGAATGAGTAAAAGAACAATTAAAAGTAACCATGACAATAAATAAATAAATACAAGTCATGACACATGAAACCAAGCTTTATTCAAACTGTTCGAACAATCATATATTTACAGACGGTGAGTCCACATCTACTGCATCTCAACACAGCTGAGAGTTCTGCAGCTTTATTCTGATGAAGACCACTGTGTCCACCTTCAGCTGTCTCTGCCCTCCATCACGACCCTCACTGCTGCAGTCAGACTGAATCTGATCATGGATGAGAAAGGGCCATCGAGGCTGTCGTTGTCTGAGTACACCGAGAGGATGAGGAAGACCATGATGACGCTCCTGAACCACACAACCCTGAACAAGAGCAGGAGAACATGATCTGCCTCTCGCTGTGTCTGCTCCAAACATCTGTGCTGCTCTCCATGAACACGACTACCTGTAACACATTTACACAGAGTAAAACATTTTACAATTAATGTTAAATTGACAATTACATGCTAATTTTTATCATGGCTTCATTACTTTTGTGTTGTAGTGGGCTAAAGCACTGAGCTGGTCAGTAGAAGGTTACTGGATCGATCTCCGCAGCCGTCACCACCGGTGTGTCCTTCAGCAAGGCTCTTTACTCCAGGGGCCTCATTTATAAAATACTGCATAGAAAGAATCCTAAATTTGATTTTACGATCATTTCTCAAAGTGCATACGTGCGATTCATAGAACGAACATACGCACAGAAAACGTGCGTACGCCTCTCTTTTAGATGTGAAATCTATCAATTGCAATGATCTAGAAATTGCACGCAGCTGAACAGTTTCAGATCTCCTCCCTGTAAACAATGTCTACTTAATGTCCTTGACTTATAAAAGAGCACCTGACAATGTCCAAATCTTTTACAAGTGGCAAGAATGGCTTATATTTCCAAAAACCTGCAGCACTCGGGCAAACAAAAGGTCACACGCCTGCTCAGACCCTGACGTGGCGCTAAGCTCTTTTCCACGTCAAAGACCATTTTTATAAATATGAACGTTGCCGTGGTTTTTTGCGTACGCACACTTTACGATCAAATCTGTGTGTACGCACCTTTTATTAATGAGGCCCCAGGTAGCTGCTGGGGGACTGGGGTCCCTGTAATAAGAGCAATGTAAGTCACTTCCGATAAAAGTGTCTGATAAATGTAAATGTGATTTTTGTAAATCCTTTTTTGTGTCTTAGGCACAAATGCTCAATAAAGCTGCTTATTTCTTAAAGTTAATTTTTTAAAGGTACTACTATAATATAAATGCATGCAATGCATATATTTCATACAGTTTCTTTTTGGGGGGTTTAAAGGGTTGGTTTCTCCAAACATATAAATTCAGTCATTATTTACTCGCCTCCACACTGTTCAATCATTGTTTGTTTTTTTCTGAACTCAAAAGGTGAGTTTGGTCAAGTTTGTCCTGCTGGTTTCTGTTCATACAGTATCAGTCAATGAGAGACTGACTTTCAGAAGCTTCATGACATTATCTGATGATACTTTTGAAGCTTCTGAAACTCGGGCTCCAATGACTGATACTGTATGAACAGAAACTAGCAGGACAAACATGACCAAACTCACATCCTCAGTGTCTTTTGGTCTTCCTCTAGATGCTCTCGCTATCTCTGGGGTCACTGAGGATGAAGAGACCACAGCAGCATCCGGTCCTGATGAGACAGTAAGAGGTGGAGTGATGGAGCGACTCATCCGTGGCACTGGAGCATTTCCAGGATGCTGCTGTGGACTCCTCCATCCTCACTGCACACACCAGTCTGTGGACATTTCAGATCCTGCAAAGACACACAAATATAATACAAAAGCAGTCGTTTTAACAGCACAATGTCAACTGATTTCTGTGTTAGAAGAAACAGAATGATCTTACTTTATATTTTAGTTTCAGGTTTTCCTTTTTTTCCACAAATGCCGCTGTCACCTTTCCTTGCAGGTCCTGCTCCACCACAAAAGCTCTGCAGCAAATGCACAGAAATCAAGAATCAGAAAAGGGCTGTGATAACTCTGTTTGAGATTACAATATTTAAAATAAACTACATCTTAAGATTTAAAAGATGTTTTATTGATGTCTGTAGGATACTCACTGAGAGCCTTTGATGGCAGCATTGCTTCATCAGTCTCTCTGCAGCAGATAAACTGACTGACTCTTGTCTGATGTTAGTCACCTCTGTGATTTATCTGCTCAATACTGCATTTACATGTTGTGTTAACTCGCTTTTATCTAACACAAGCGCTCCACAATTTATCAGTAGTGCTAATGCACAAATAAAATAGATAACATATGTTTAGTTACTTTATGTAGATTTGTTTATTAAGATTACTTGCATTCATCTAAAGCAGTGTTGACAGTGAATTCTGCATAATAGCACACATACAGCACTCGCTCAGATCTGTTCATGTTGTGATGCACTCATCTGCAATTCTGTTAGAACATTTTCCTGTCAGATATTAAATAGACATTCAATCATCTTTAAGATGTACAAGGTTTATGTAAATTCACTTTGGAGACGTGCGTGTGTTTACTGGAGCTCCACTGTTCTATTATACATAATAAAACTTGTTTTTACAGCAAAATCACAAATATACTATACTGTCTAGCATCTTACACCCTCAACAATTGAACAATTTATTCCACAGTAGCTTAACAAATGTGATTTTAATACCGAGAACCATGTTTTTGATTTGTAATACTCACATTTGTAAACA